CGGAAGTCGGGAGTTGGGGACTGGCTTCAGTAGAAGCTGCTGGGACTCCCAGCAGCTTCTACTGAAGCCTTCCGAGTAAATCGCCAGAACGCCGGCACCTCCTCATCTCCACCACTCCCATGTTATTTTGTTTGTTGCCATAAGAGTTCTCTCTCCGTTGGTGCGCGGGGCTAATGCTAATAATGCTAATGCCAGCAAATAAAATGGCAGCTTCACAAAAACTTTTCTGAGTTTTATGGGGCGTGGTTTGTAATTCGCCCAGCCAATCAGAAATTGTAACTTTTTTCTCCCCAGGAAAGTACCACCTCTCTAGCAGGCACTGAACAGGGGGGAAAGTCCTCATGAACTAATTCTCTTTTTGGTGTGAACGCAAAATCCCAGGAACTATCGGAACTGGGAACGGGAAAAGTACTCCGGTGTGTAAGCGCCTATGAAACTCTTTGCAGATATGATCCTCTTACTCTTCCTTTAGCGCCACCATGTGGTTGCTTTTAAATGAAATTGCTCTACGTCTATCAGATGGATTGCCATGAAATAAGGATTTATTTGTCGGAATTATATTATAATCTTTATTGAACAAGGACCATCCATAAACACATTAATGTCAAAAAGAGAAGAGATGCTATATGCCAGATTATAGCTAACAGCTCATTTCCATGTGAAATCGGAATGGGAAGGATTTGGAAAACATCGTAATTTACATAATTTGACCAATACTTTTATGATTAATACCTGAAAACCAATGATATTTAACCTCGGCTTTAGTTTGTATTTAGTGCTCATTTTTACATTTCAATGGGCTTACAGTACATTCTTATGTTAAAGATGGTTAACATGGTGTAGACAGTATACCTGCCAAATATCGGCATTTTACTTATTTCATTGCGAGCAAATTAGCATGCTGACATTAGCATTTAGCTTAAAGCACTGCTATGTTGTAGCTTCTTTCTTGTAGGTTGTAGGTGTTGCTGTTATTTGTATTTGAGCAGAAATTGTGTGTAAATAATTGATATTAGTCAGAAGAAAATCCCCCATAACTGGTTCAACCAATAATGATTTACAGAAATGTGTCTGACCTAAAGTTATCCATGCAATATTTATTAAACATCCTCAAACTTCTCTCTCTCCTGTGAAACTACTAAGACTACACACACAAAAGAAAATGTGTGGCTAAGCAACTTTTTTTGGGGGGTGGGTAATAAACTGATGGATGAAAATACTGGATGTGGTAGCAAATGAAGAATGGGAGGAGAGATAGTTTCCATTATAAACCCCCTGCTGCTCTCTGGGAAAATAAAAAAAGTGCTGACTCAACAAGAAACCTTTACAATCACCTTCTCTCACTCCTGTGCACCGACGCTCTCTCACAAAAATATACTGTCACTGTATACCATCATACCCTCCACTCAAAAACAATGTATGCAGCGTTGGGGTACGAGCTGGCAAACGTCCCCTTCCTCAAACTCTGGATTCATCTCTGGAGGATGAGAGATGGGAACTCTTTCCAAGCAGCAAGAGTTTTCTTTGTTCACAACATTGTTCATCTGAGGTCACCAATAGGGCTTACAGTGTTTCCATAGAGAGTCTCTGTGTTGCTTTTGTCTCCTGCAAGCATCTTTTGTGTGATTACAACCGAGGGCAGGAGGCTGCCGTTTTATTAGCAATGCTCTGGTTTGGACCAGTACAAAATAAATGAGCAGCATCCCCCCCCAGATACTTTCTGTTGCTTTAGTTTCACTTTTATTAACTCGTTTATTTTTGAAAAATCAAGCTAGCTGGTGTGCAGCAATTGCATTTCATTTGTTACCAGAGTGAACGGTCATATTTGACTGACTTCAAAGATACGGGAGGCTGTGGCTCAGTGGGTGAGTGTGCTGGACTTCGAATCGGGGGGTAGCAAGTTCGAGTCCCACTGCAGTCAGCATGTCGTTGTGTCCCTGAGGACACTTCACCCCAAATTGCTCCTGTGGGGATTGTCCACAGTACTGAATGTTATGGTAAGTCGCTTTGGATAAAGCGTCTAAACAAATGACATGTAATAATGTAAATACCAACAGCTGATGAAGCCTTTCTCTGGGTTTCATTTTTACTTGGCTGTAATCAATTATTGTAAACACTTTCAGAGAGACCATGGAAACTAAATAGCTACATTCGTTCCCTCATTTGTGGGAGGCTGTGGCTCAGTGGATAGTGTGCTGGACGTGGAATCAGGGGGTAGCAAGTTCGAGTCCCACTGCAGTCAGCATGTCGTTGTGTCCCTGAGACACTTCATTGCTCCTGTGGGGACTGCCCACAATACTGAATGTTTGTAAGTCGCTTTGGATAAAAGCGTCTAACAAGTGACATGTAATGTAATTTGATTTCCATTTAAAGTGGAAATATAATGCTGGTGTATTGAGTCAGGTTCATATCAGTATGTAGTGTCTCTACATGTCTCCATGCCTCAATGTTCACAAAGCTCTTTATTGTTCTCATCCTGCCTGTGCTGCAGCACCTCTTTTCACCCTCTGTCTGAAACCAGAGCCCAGTCCGCTCTGATTGGTTAGCTGGTCGGCTCTGTTGTGATTGGTCAACCGCTTAAAGATGTCCCGCCCCTTAGCCTATCACGTACAATGTGTTGGAGCGCTAGCCAATAGAACCGCGAGTGTTATGTTATCAAAGGAACAAACTACAGGAAAGGGAGAGCCCCAAAAAGCAAGGCCACATGCTTACATTGTGGGACATAGAAAGGTTAAGTGTGTGTTTACTGTGTGTGTTTCAGAGGGCTCTCCGTTCAGCTGGTGGCTCGGGGGTCCCGCTCCCGGTCGTGTCCAGTCTTATTGGGGGGGGGCTCAGCCGGGCAGCCAGCAGTGTGTGTGCGGGCTGCAGGGAGACTGTGTGGATCCTCAGCACTACTGCAACTGTGACGCTGACCGCACCGAGTGGTACTGAGACACAGCAATACTTACAGACGTGGTTATTAATACTGAAATGTTCCCCCTCTCTATAATGCCTCACCTTGGGTTTGTTTCTTCATCCTCTCCTTATTATCTCTCCTTATTGTTCTACCCTCCTTTGCCCTTTGCTTCCTAATCTTTCGCCCTCCTCCTTATTGCCATTTTCTTCCTACTCCTCCCCTTCTATTTCTTCTTCTTCCTTCTCCTTTCTGTCTTCCTCCTCATTCCTCCTTCTCTTTTCCTCCTCTATCCTCAAATTATTTCTAATTCTTTCTTTAATCCTCCAAATCCTAATTCTTCTTCCTCCTCCTCCTCTTCCTCCTCTTCCTCCTCTTCCTCCTCTTCCCTCCTGCAGGACTGAGGACTCTGGGCTGCTCACCCATAAGGAGAGCCTCCCTGTCCGGTCTTTGTTGCTAGGTGACGTCAGGAGGCCGGGGTCAGAGGCCGTCTACAGGGTGGGAACCGCTCAGTTGTCATGGGAGACAGTAGAGTCAAAGCTTTAATTGCCTGGTTACATCATGACAGAATTCTCTCCATTCTGGAAAATTACAATTTGTATTAAAGGTCACCTATCAGACAAAATCCACTTCTTCATGTCTCTTCTACATCAACATGTGTCCCCTCTTCTTCACGTCTCTTCTACATCAATATGTGTCTCCTCTTCTTCATGTCTCTTCTACATCAACATGTGTCCCCTCTTCTTCATGTCTCTTCTACATCAACATGTGTCCCCTCTTCTTCATGTCTCTTCTACATCAACATGTGTCCCCTCTTCTTCACGTCTCTTCTACATCAACATGTGTCTCCTCTTCTTCATGTCTCTTCTACATCAACATGTGTCCCCTCTTCTTCATGTCTCTTCTACATCAACATGTGTCCCCTCTTCTTCACGTCTCTTCTACATCAACATGTGTCCCCTCTTCTTCATGTCTCTGCTACATCAACATGTGTCCCCTCTTCTTCATGTCTCTTCTACATCACCATGTGTCCCCTCTTCTTCATGTCTCTTCTACATCACCATGTGTCTCCTCTTCTTCATGTCTCTTCTACATCAACATGTGTCCCCTCTTCTTCATGTCTCTTCTACATCACCATGTGTCCCCTCTTCTTCATGTCTCTTCTACATCACCATGTGTCTCCTCTTCTTCATGTCTCTTCTACATCACCATGTGTCTCCTCTTCTTCATGTCTCTTCTACATCACCATGTGTCCCCTCTTCTTCATGTCTCTTCTACATCAACATGTGTCCCCTCTTCTTGATGTCTCTTCTACATCAACATGTGTCCCCTCTTCTTCATGTCTCTTCTACATCAACATGTGTCCCCTCTTCTTCATGTCTCTTCTACATCAACATGTGTCCCCTCTTCTTCATGTCTCTTCTACATCAACATGTGTCCCCTCTTCTTCATGTCTCTTCTACATCAACATGTGTCCCCTCTTCTTCATGTCCTCTTCTACATCAACATGTGTCCCCTCTTCTTCATGTCTCTTCTACATCAACATGTGTCCCCTCTTCTTCATGTCTCTGCTACATCAACATGTGTCCCCTCTTCTTCATGTCTCTTCTACATCAACATGTGTCCCCTCTTCTTCATGTGTCTTCTACATCAACATGTGTCCCCTCTTCTTCATGTCTCTTCTACATCAACATGTGTCCCCTCTTCTCCATGTCTCTTCTTCATCAACATGTGTCCCCTCTTCTTCACGTCTCCTCTACATCAACATGTGTCCCCTCTTCTTCATGTCTCTTCTACATCAACATGTGTCCCCTCTTCTTCATGTCTCTTCTACATCAACATGTGTCCCCTCTTCTTCATGTCTCTTCTACATCACCATGTGTCCCCTCTTCTTCATGTCTCTTCTACATCAACATGTGTCCCCTCTTCTACATGTCTCTTCTACTTCAACATGTGTCCCCTCTTCTTCATGTCTCTTCTACATCAACATGTGTCCCCTCTGTGTAAAGAGACTCTGAAAGTTCCAGGAAAAAAGATTCTCTCTTTTTGTCCTGATCCATTTCTATAAAAACCTGTCTGAAAATGAGCTGATCAGATTTTGGCCACTTTATGATGTCATAACGATGTTTTGTCTTGTGTAACCATTAGCCAATCAGCAACCAAGGTAACCCCCCCCCCCCACCTTATCACCTGCATCTCCTCCTAGAGCACCATTGAGTTCTTTGTAACCAAATGTCTCTCAGAGGGGCGTGGGGAGGGGCTCCTTATTTTCATCTAAAGTCACAGACAGAGAATCAGCACTTTGGAAACAGGGCTGAAACAGAGGGGGTTATGGGTAATGCTGCCATGATCTGTTTGGTGTTTGGAGCCAATCAGAGACAGGTTCTGTAGACCTATAATATATTGATGAGAAACAGTATAATATGAGACCTTTAAAGTTTATTATGCATCGTTTTGCCCAGGGACACAATGACATGCTGACTGCAGTAGGGTTTGAACCTGTTCTCCCCTGATCCTTTGATCCGAACACCAACGCACTAGGCCACTGCGCCACAGCCCAGCCTATACAAACGTACTCACACCGTTGCCTACTGTTTTTTCCCCACTTTCTTTCAGCTGTATCCACATTGTTTGTAAACAGAAAATATATAAGAATTTAACCTTGACTTACATTTAATACATAATAATAATAATCATGTCCTGTTCCCTGTTTCGTCGAACTTACAGAAGGACACAAACTAACAAACTTATTTTGACATTCAAACCAATAAGCCAGCGTTTATTTCTTCAAGCAGCAAATAATTAGCTCATTATTTCTGAGGGATGAATTGTTCTCAGGTCTATTGAAATGGAAATACAGGATTAGGTGTTTAATGCGATGAATAAATTATCCTGGGTACAAAACCCAAACATCTAGAAGCTATTTATCATTAGCAGAACTGCTGCTAATGCGCATTTCCGTCTCAAATTTCACACTCTGATTCTTATATCTAATGAAAATGAAAAAAGCAAGTTTCCAATTATTCACAATTACAGCCGTTCTATATACCGGAGTAGATGTTTGGCATGATAAATCAAACGAGACCACGTAACAGTAAACCAAAAGATACATTTGTTGTATCATTTGTTTCCCTGTGATTTCCATTTAAAGAGGAAATATTATGTTCATATTCAGGTGTATATTATAATGTAGTGTCTCTACTTTAAAGAGTCCTCTCCTGCTGATGTTCAGGTGTATATTATAATGTAGTGTCTCTACTTTAAAGAGTCCTCTCCTGCTGATGTTCAGGTGTATATCAGTAGGTAGTGTCTCTACTTTAAAGAGTCCTCTCCTGCTGATGTTCAGGTGTATATCAGTATGTAGTGTCCCTACTTTAAAGAGTCCTCTCCTGCTGATGTTCAGGTGTATATCAGTATGTAGTGTCTCTACTTTAAAGAGTCCTCTCCTGCTGATGTTCAGGTGTATATCAGTATGTAGTGTCCCTACTTTAAAGAGTCCTCTCCTGCTGATGTTCAGGTGTATATCAGTATGTAGTGTCTCTACTTTAAAGAGTCCTCTCCTGCTGATGTTCAGGTGTATATCAGCATGTAGTGTCTCTACTTTAAAGAGTCCTCTCCTGCTGATGTTCAGGGTGTATATCAGTATGTAGTGTCTCTACTTTAAAGAGTCCTCTCCTGCTGATGTTCAGGTATCAGTATGTAGTGTCTCTACTTTAAAGAGTCCTCTTCTGCTGATGTTCAGGTGTATATCAGTATGTAGTGTCTCTACTTTAAAGAGTCCTCTCCTGCTGATGTTCAGGTGTATATCAGTATGTAGTGTCTACTTTAAAGAGTCCTCTCCTGCTGATGTTCAGGTATCAGTATGTAGTTTCTCTACTTTAAAGAGTCCTCTCCTGCTGATGTTCAGGTATCAGTATGTAGTGTCTCTACTTTAAAGAGTCCTCTCCTGCTGATGTTCAGGTATCAGTATGTAGTGTCTCTACTTTAAAGAGTCCTCTCCTGCTGATGTTCAGGTGTATATCAGTATGTAGTGTCTCTACTTTAAAGAGTCCTCTCCTGCTGATGTTCAGGTATCAGTATGTAGTGTCTCTACTTTAAAGAGTCCTCTCCTGCTGATGTTCAGGTGTATATCAGTATGTAGTGTCTGTACTTTAAAGAGTCCTCTCCTGCTGATGTTCAGGTGTATATCAGTATAGAGTGTCTCTACTTTAAAGAGTCCTCTCCTGCTGATGTTCAGGTATCAGTATGTAGTGTCTCTACTTTAAAGAGTCCTCTCCTGCTGATGTTCAGGTGTATATCAGTATGTAGTGTCTCTACTTTAAAGAGTCCTCTCCTGCTGATGTTCAGGTGTATATCAGTATGTAGTGTCTCTACTTTAAAGAGTCCTCTCCTGCTGATGTTCAGGTGTATATCAGTATGTAGTGTCTGTACTTTAAAGAGTCCTCTCCTGCTGATGTTCAGGTGTATATCAGTATGTAGTGTGACATGCACAAAAATCGATATAACACACTACAGGAAATGGAAACCCCATCAAATAAAATAGGGCCCATTCATAGATGATGACGAGCATTTTTCATTTCCTTTTCTCAGAGAACTTCTGGAACGCTGCGTTTTTCGACAAGGAGACGTCGTACCTCCACTTCCCGACCTTCCACGGAGAGCTGAGCGCGGATATCTCCTTCCTGTTCAAAACCACCGCCTCCTCCGGTGTGTTCCTGGAGAACCTGGGCATCAAAGACTTCATCCGGATCGAACTGAGCTGTGAGTAAGAGCTGAAGGGCGAGGATTTAATCCGGATTAGAGTGATGTGTCAGTGAAACCTGGGAGTCAAAGTCTTAATCTGGATCTGTGTAATACCTGGAGGTTAGAGACTTAATCTGTTTCAAAGTATTCTGAAGGTAGAAATTGTTTATTGAAGGTTGAACTCGGCTGTCTTGACCTTCCTGTCCTGACATCAACTGTGAATGCTACACAAAGTTTAACAGCTCAGGGAAACCGAGAAGCCTTTTCAAAATGTTTTAAATCTGGCTGCAGGGATTTGACCCAATTTATCCACAAGAGCGTCGATGGATGGTTCAGTTTCATCTAAAATGTATTGCATGAGGTCAAGCTCAGGGCTCTGTGCAGGCAGGTCTTCCACACCACGCTTTGAAAAAACTGTTTTAATAGAGCGTGCTCTGCAGCTAAAAGTCAGGAAAGGGTCTTCCCAAACGGTTGCCACACAAAGCCTGTGAAAACCCGCTTTTAAACTAAATCTATAAATATCAATTATTAAATAAGCGATCATTTAATTGAAGTTAAGAAAGAAACATTCATACATCTATATGTGTTATTTATGAAATGTTTAAACTCATCTCTTTGTTACTGTGGTGTGATCTGATTGGATCTCATCTATCATCACACATGGATTCAAACAATGCTTAATTCTGATGGTGATACCACCTTTTACCCACCCATCCATTGCCACTCGCCCTATACGGTGGCCCAGCTGGGACATTTTACTGTTGTTTGAATAGCTTAACATAAGGACTGATAGCTACGGAAACAACTGGGCTGTTCAAATAGAAGAAAATACAAACTAATTGGGTATAGTAAACACTCTTATGCTGCGGCGTTAACCTGAACACAGAAATAAACACATTTCTTTCCTCAGAGTTATTTGCTTGAAAATCTGACCACATCTAAAGGGCCTGCAGCAACGGGAGACTTTTATTTTGCTCTGCTTCTACTATGGTTTAGTTTCCCAAAATGCGAGCGCACATATTAGTCTTCTTTAACTTCACTTGAGCTTTCTGTTTTCATTGCTCGGACGATATTTTCTGTCTCTGCTCTGTGTTCTGCTTTCTAGCCGCCGCCTCACTGCATATTATTCAATATGACAGCAATAACCAAGAGGGTGTTTTATACGTTATGGGTACAACAGTGCAGTGCGTATGTGTTATACCTTTACAGCCCTCATTGGTGTGTTTGCATTTAAAACATGGCAGAAACACCTAGGAGGACCTTAACTCCCAGCGGCTCAGGAAGAAATCCCTCAGGATTATAAAAGACCCCCATCACCCCAGCCACAAACTGTTCAGTCTGCTGCCGTCTGGCAGGCGGTACCGCAGCATCCGGACTAATGCCAACAGGGACAGGGACAGCTTCATCCCGCAGACAATAAGACTGTTAACCAACTGAACTGCTGAAAACAATTTCATAACATTCATCTGCTACTTAGTAATTATCTATCTATTATCTAATATATATTCCAATAACTTCTATATAGACTCGTATTGCACTATTGCACTTTCTCACTTTTTTTAGAACTATTTTTCATTTTGTATTACTTTTAATATAATATACTTTAATAGTGCTTCAATATTGTCTTCAATATCTGTATTATTGTATTGCATTGTTGGAGAAGCCTGTGACCTAAGATTTTCAACGACATAATTACTCTGTAGCTATGTTAGTTTGACAATAAAGAACCTTGAACCTACAGGTCTGTACTCTATGGTTATGCAGCTAGGTGTCATATTTGTGTAAATGGGAAAACAATCTTCCAGGTATCAGAGCCTGCCTTTTGAAGCTCAATCAGCCCCGTTTATTTTTGCCGTGTTGTTTCGTGCTGCATTTGGCATTGGGATTTGACGGGACACACAGAATCAGATGCAGGGACACTGCTGCTCCAACAGCCTCGCCCCTCGGGGAAATCATCGTCAGTGTTGGTTGTTCCCGCTCCGAATACTGCTGCTTCCTCTGAGAACAGTTTCTTAATGAAGTTACCCGTGTGATGCTGGGTTATTGTTTCATCTTGTTCTGTGCTCTCGGAGTGATACATCTTCTCCTTGGAAAACACAAAGGATGAGATGTCTTTAGGCTCCAAAATCGACTCCTTCTCTTGAAAGGGGGGCAGTGGATCTGGTCCGTTCCATAACTAAGAAAACCTCATTCAAAGTCTCATTATTATGTGTTACAGTGCTTGTAACTATAAATCCAGAGCCTTTCTCAGCACTATGTTGTGTGGCTCGCCTTATATGTCTAGCACGGACTGTAGATTGTTTTGTCTATTCAATATTTAAAAAATGTTGCTGTCTTTTGCAAACGCAATTCTCCATAAGTTTTAGTAGTTCAAGAGCAAAAACATCAGGGCTTGACAAAGTAAGCAAGTTCATGGCGCATCAAGGGTTTGCAGTTAGTTTAAGTTAGTTAGTAGTTTTGTTGTTATATGTTGGTAGTTTGAATGCTGGTGAGTTTTTTTAGCTAGCTGCGAGATTACAGCTAAAAAGTTGGAAATAGCCATTTTAAGAGAGAGAATTGGTTCATGTTATTGATATGGATGAGTCTTTGCCTTTCCTTCTTTTTCATAGGAGCTGTTGTTACATTTTTGTAAAATCACAAAGGATTAATTTTCTCAATTGCTATAACAGATGTGGCAAGACACAAATTAGGAGGACAAATTGCTTAAAACAACCTAAATAAATAAACCATATTTAAAGTGGGAAATATCTCCGACATTTAATGCAGTTGCAGTTTTGTTTACAAGTGACAAATGTAAGTTGAAATTGTCATATTTATATAAATATGAGGAGCAACTTTAATGGATTATATTCAAGTTAATGTTGAAAAACCTCTACAGAATTAGAGACCAGTATATACAATTACAAAAATGCTAACATAAGGCAATTGATATATATATTTACTTATTACACTACACTACGTCAGTCTGAATCTGAATCTGAGAAAGTGTGAGATTATTTACGTGATGCAAAAACATGTTTCATAATGAGTTTTTCTGAAATGATGTTCAAAGTGTTGTCAAATTGTCTCCAGGATTTTCTCTTTCAACCCTGACCCATATTTCTAATCTGTTCATTCTTCCGTTTGCATTTGTCTTCCCCATGACCGCTATCCTGTCCATAAATCTTACCTTTACCCCTCCCTCTCTCCCCCTCTCCCCCTCTCTCCCTCTCTCCCCCTCTCCCTCTCTCCCCCTCTCTCCCTCTCCATCAGCCTCCACTCGGGTGGTTTTCTCCTTCGACGTCGGTAACGGGCCTCTGGAGGTTCATGTGGAGTCGATGGTGCCGCTGAACGACAACCGGTGGCATCGAGTTCGAGCCGAGAGGAACGTCAAAGAGGCGTCGCTGCGGCTGGACGGACTTCCTGTCGCCACACAGGAAGCTCCGGCTGACGGACACCTCCACCTGCAGCTCAACAGCCAGCTGTTCATAGGTGAGGAGGAGACACATGGGCCAAACATATATTCATATAACGTTTATGCAAAATAAGAATATGCTTGATTGGCCAGGTGTGTGTTCAATCAAAGGAGTTTGACTCAGGTTTGAACTGCTATCAATTTACTCACACAAAAAAGACCAATAGCTTATAAGAAGGACAATAACGAAGATAACACATAAACATTTGACAACTAAGGAATAACTAACATACTAAACAGTAATGTATATAGTTACTACACAATTTAAGTGTCAACAGTAAGACAATGGTTCAGAGTGAAAAGAAGTGCTGAAATAAATGTGGATAAATAATGTAAAAGAGGTAGGTGGATATTTCAATATGCACAGTATGACATAGTTAGGGTTATATTTAACAATTATTTTAAAAAAATGTAACCCAAAGTATAGATTAAAAACGATGTTATTGATTTAAATAATGATTTAATTGCTACTTTTTTTTAAAGTAGTCCACTAGCTGTGTTTTGGGATCACTATGAAGTCCTTGTCAGCGGTCTGATACACAGAAATAACGGACTGTGGAATGCAACAATTGACCAATCAGAATTGAGGCTATTCAACAAAGCTTTGCATTAATAATATATCATGAATTTGTTAAGAGGATAGTGCAGAGAGATTGTTCCTCACACTTTGTTCCGGTGTTTAATGTTCATCAGAGTGACGGCTGTTTTTGTGTCGGATTCTTTGGGTGTAGTTTTCTGCAGCGCCTCTCATGTTGATACGTGTTGATAAGTGTCCAGTGACTGTTTTGTCTTTCCTTCTGCAATTTGCCGTGGTTTGACATATTTGTTCATTATTTCTGCATGTGTCATCGATGCTCCAACAGTTCAGGCAGCAGCGCTCTGGGCTGTGCATAACAATGGAGTCATTTTCATTTGACAGCCAATTAGCATCATGTGTCAGCTTTAACAGAGCTCTGACTTCAAACTAACTCTAACAATTTGTATTACGTGTTTGCACATTGTCATTTAAATAATTCAAATAGGTACTTTCATATAAATACTTAGGTGTAATGATAACTCTACCATCCTAAAAAGAGCACAGTAAATCAGGGTGTTTCTCAATGTCGAGGAAGGATGCTCCAGAGCCACTATTTCAAGGATGTCATCGAGTCCCGCCGAAGGACTGTTCCAATGTCCAGGATACTTGGAATTCTACCGAGGCTGGCGTCCTTCGTAGCGAGACATTTCGAAGCTGCACATGTGTATCCTCCGCGGTCTTAAAATCCCCACAATGCTTTGCGCACGGACCAATTTCCAAATCTTTGGCGGAAATCGCGCTCCATTTAAGGCGGGGCCTCGCATATGACCTGTTTCACCATTCTTCGTTTTCCGAGGCTAGGAAGGATTCTTGCCTCGCTTCTGAAGCAAGTGACTCGGAGGTACACGTGCTACCAAGGAAGCGTCCTCGACATTGAGAAACACCCAGTGAGAATGGGAGAGAAATAGAGAAGGACAAACCCAAAAAGCAGAATAGGGCCTCTTTAATATTTGCTCTTGTTGATGTTGTAAACGGAGCTGCTGCAATGCGACAACAAATTCAAACTAGGAACTGACAACAAAGAATTATCGTAAGGTTAAATCTGTTAAAGTGTATTAGACAACAATAGCTTTTAGTTCATTAATTACTCTTACATGCTAACTGGCTTTCCAGAAGAAAAGTACAATCCTGCTTTTTATATCACAGCCTACAGTCTGCTAAACTGTTATTGATTCAAGTGCTGCTAGATATAGAAGACACCGACCCGACATGTATCCTCTCCCTCCACAGCTAAAGCACCCAACGTGAGGAATCAGTGGCAGGATGTGCATCCTCAGATAAATGCTAAAAATATTCTCTCTTCTTCCACGCAGGCTTATCTGGTATTGGCTAAACCCTACTCTTTTATCAGCAGTATTGGATGTAAAATGTGCCGAGGAAGCACATCCATTCAACACTGCTTCCACTTCCTCTTTGTACAGATGCCTACCATGTTACTCCTGATAGACCATAATCCACTATACAGTTATCCGGTCTGATCTCCTTGAGTCCTACTTACTCTAAAATAAGAAATATACTGTTTAAATGCTAACTTGCTGTTCTGCTATCCGCTGCTCGGCACTTTTGAATATGAAAGTGCCGAGTCGACAGCATGCGAGCATGAACAATGATCATGTTTAATAAATACAGCATGCATCAGGGAGAATATCGTGGAATGGGATTTCCTCCGGTGAAGGTCTTTAAATAATCTGTAAAAGAAGTTTATTCTGTAAATGATTCATCAGGCGACCTTGTAATTAACCGAACGTCCAATAGAAACGTCATCAATACTCTGATTATCTGAACTCTAATCAATACCACAATCTGAGATCTCCACGTCGAGCTAACGGGGAACATAATAATGAAAATCCTTCATATAAGGCGTTGTGCAAATATCATGAATGTCATCTCACATCAGTGAACACACAGTGAGGGAAAACAAACACACAGTGTTGGGATTGGATGCAGTGAATGGAGGGAAATATTGATTAGAGGAATAATCCACTCTAAGTCACCAGCATCAGACTATGTTTGTTTGCCTCTGAATTACCATAACACACACTGGAATACGTCTGTGTGTTGGGATGGTCCAGGACTTGCCTCCAGATTGTTTCTGTAATGAATGTTTGTCGTACAATTTTCGGACTTATCTGGCTTTTCTGTTTTGAGAGGAGCAGTGACTTGCTTGTTGTCGTTTATTTGATCTTCATCAGCACTATTTTTCTGTGACAGTGACAGTGTCCTCGAGTGAAACACTAAGTCCTGAAGGTTTGAAATCCGAAAAAGCAGGCACCAGTTGGCGGTGTGAGTGGCCTGACAGGATGATAATTAGGGAGCAGAAACAACACTGGTTTTGTGTGAATATATCAATGTGTAATTAATTTGCAAATTAAACCTCTTGATGAATATTTACAAACTATCTTAATTATCTCTGCAACCAAATTGAAAAAACTACACACACTAAGTGATCGCTAAAGGTAGAAATCAAATTTGCAAGTATAACACAGTAAAAAAAAATAATAGTTCTTGTACTCTTTGTTGAATGCAGTTGTGGAGTATAATTAAGTACATTTACTCAAGTCATACCTAAGTACAAAGAGCGGACAGTGTGAGCTGGATTACTGGTGTGGTTTCCTGGTTGCTGCGTGGGGACAGCGAGACACCGCGGAGCTCAGCCTGAGCACACACAGGTGAGTGTGTGGCGAACTGTGAGTGGAGAGCTCCATGGAGCCGCGGCTGAGAAAAGATAAGGCGGAGAGTGTGTGTGTGTGTGTGTTGTGTGTGTGTGTGTGTGTGTGTGTGTGTGTGTGTGTGTGTGTGTGTGTGTGTGTGTGTGTGTGTGTGTGTGTGTGTGTGTGTGTGTGTGTGTGTGTGTGTGTGTGTGTGTGTGTGTGTGTGTGTGTGTGTGTGTGTGTGTTGTGTGCGTGACCTAGGTATGGTCACGTCACTATAGGAAGAAAACAATGGAAAGAGAGAAATGTCCAACGAGGCGTTCTGGGGCAGCACAGACAGGTCTTCTCTGTGTTAGAGTTGTACTCGCTGCAGGGTGTACTTTGAGGGTTTGTGATTCTGCAGACCGTTTACATGCAGAAAAAGCTTCATAACACAAGGGGACGGGTGATAACCGGAAAAGCATGACATGTCACCTTTAAGGTACTCAATCATTTCCACATTCTGCTACATTATACCTGTAGGAGCCATATGTTAAAATTAGGGCCGGGACTTTAACGCGTTAATTAAGATTAATTAATTACACAAAAATTAACGCGTTAAAAAAATGAACGCATTTTAATCGCACTTATTTTTGCACCGCGGAACGTTTCTCACTGGATGAGTTTCAGGCGTACCGATTATACTGGAGCACCAACTAACGTTCATGACTTCAGACAACAACAAACCACAGTGAACAACAGTGGGAAATGTTGTTTTAAAAAACGGACGGATGGAAGCGTCGATAAGAGCACGGTTGTGTGCAAATTATGCAAAAGGAATTCGCATATCACCGCAGCACATCAAGCCTCAAGTATCACCTCAATGCAAAACATATAGCAGCTAGCGTGGAAGCTAGCGTGGACGTTAGCCTCTTTTATCGCGTTCACACCAAAAAGAGCCGGTACTAAAATTAGTTCATGAGAACCTTTTTACCCCCACGAAAGTCCCTGCTAGAGAGCAGAGAGCTGCTAGAGAGCAGGGACTTTCGTACGGCTCTCTTGTGAGAAAAGAGCTATATTTCTGATTGGCTGGGCGGATTGCAAACCACGCCCCGTAAAACTCGCAAAAAGTTTTGTGAAGCCGCCATTTTATTATCCTCGCATTAGCATTATTAGCATTAGCCCAGCGCAGAAACGCAGAGAGACTAACTTATGGCAACACAAAATAAAACATGGGAGCGGTGGAGATGAGGAGGTGTCGGCGTTCTGGCGATTTACTCGGAAGGCTTCAGTAGAAGCTGCTGGGAGTCCCAGCAGCTTCTACTGAAGCCTTCCCCAACTCCGGGGACCTCCGGCCGGGGACTTTGGGCGGCAGTATACGCCGTGAAGTGGTTTGCGGCCTGCCAGTAAACCCAAAGCAGAAGAAGAAGAAGTGACGTCAGCGGCTTCATTTGCCTAATCCACCCCCAGGTTCAAAGAGTTCTCATGAACTAAATTCTCATGAACCTTTGTGGGAAAAGTACTGCGGTGTGAATGCGCCTAATGGTATACTAAAATCCATGTGAAAAAAAAATTGCTTCTCACTGTTCTTAGGTCAAATATTTATATGTGATTAAAAATGCGATTAATTTCAATTAATTAATTACAAAGCCTCTAATTAATTAGATTAATTTTTTTAATCGAGTCCCGGCCCTAGTTAAAATGTATAGTTTGATATATTTGAATATTATAATCCTTTGTTGTTAGTGCTATCATATCATTTATTTGAACCAGCCGTGTGAAATTGACGGCACAGACGACCGCAGCTGCT